AGATTATGTGAAATTAAGCGACGAATAAGTGGGACGTTTTCATCAAACTTTGATGACGATGGAAGAACGTTATCAGTGACGATGGGACGATCAGATGTGGAGTGACTATTGTTAAAGAATGAAATGTCATGGCCCTGAGAAAATATGTAGACGAAAATTCTTGCCCAATTAAGGCTTCTTATACATCCAGTTTCGTGTTTATGTTGTGAGTAATCAAAAGGATGTGTTTAGGATACATGTTTGCTTTAATTTATCTATGTAAGATACATCCTTGGAAGACTTCCGTCTGTTGCAAAAATTTCACAAGTCGATTTTAAAAATACTTGTAGCGTGCAGAAGAAGCCAATGTCAGATTTGTATTCAGCATGCTCAAATAATACAAGGACGAATGTCAGTTTCTTTGCGGCAAAAGGTTTGTTACCCTGCATTGCTATCATAAATATGTTGCTTGTGGAAACAGAGCCAAGCTCAAAGAGCGCTCGTGGTTAGGGTTAGGGTCCCATTTTTTTGCACATAGTCACAACTGTGGGTCCAGTCACACAGAGGAAACAAGTATGTTAGGTCGTAGACCGGTTCCCGATAGCAATGGCTCTTGCTGGTACGGTTCCTGATCTAGCCTCTTGGCTAATATACAGCATCTAAATACATAAGTAATTCCTGAGAAATGCATCAGAATCAATAGGCAACTATAAACAATGAACAATGAACCACGAATTTATACGGGTTAAGAAGTGTTCTTTACAAGTCCCGTTGGATAGTTCGTGGGGACAGCGACATAACCATAATGATAATAATCATAGCAAAACAGTTAGTACTTCAAATGTGAAAATAAGGACTTATCATTTGTTCCGCCGTAGTCATGCAATCCGCTTAGATTCACAGTACCCGCAGTCAACATCAAATAATTCCATGGTAAACGCCAGGTGTAGGATGGAGACGCAGTGCTAAGTGACAAAGTGTAAATGGATGAGTGAATCATTCAACCGTCTTTTAAGTACTGTTCGTGTCTGTGGAGAGACGACCGATTCTGAGCGAGTATTCCATCGGTGACAGACACGAATGGGAAAGAAATTTCTGAGGCGGATATACTGTACAGCGAGTTTCAGTGAGTGGAGCCTCAGATTTGTATTGCTGCTGAGTCGCAGTAAAGGGCGACACACATGACGTGGGTCTCGCAAAATCAAGTATGCCATAATGAGGTCGCCTGGTAGTCTGCGATAGCTTCCACTGAATATCCCCAATCGATTCAGCCTCTCCTGGTATGAACGTTCGCGCATTCCAATTACGTTCTTAGATGCCCGACGTGGTAGCTGCTCCAATGCATTAAGGTCGTGTTTCAGCCATGGATGCCAGGCTTGAATTGCGTATTCGACATGGGGGCGAATATACGCACTGAGCATTTGTGGAAATATGGATCTGCTTATTTGTCCAAACGCTCGTCGCAACAGCCCGACGTGTTGGTTCCCAGTCTTCGAGGCCTTTTTGCATTGCCTGGAGGAGCCCAAGTCATCTTAAACGAGGTCACCCGGGATTGTTGCTAGTGTTTTATCTTTCTCACGGAATCAGTGTTTCGGTAACAAGCGATTTCTTTAACAATGCAACCTCAACGCAATGGAAACATAATTAACCGATAGAACCATCGACGTAGTTAACTGGACCGATTCCATAACTAACGACTCTTCTGCTTGGAACAATTGGACTCACACTAGCACCGGCAACTACGAGTCAGTCAGCGTAAACGCAGCGATGTCCAATCATCGGCCCCGTTCGTTTGCCGCACTCCAGCTGCTTGCTTCGTCAGGTAAACTCGTCTCGTCTCTCCGATTGCATATTCCCATCAATACACCCTCAAGGTGAGAGACTAGAGCAGACACATGGCAATTAAACTCAATAAGCGAGTTAGTGTTTCGTGGGCAACATTTGTTTTTTTCATACAAACACTTCGTAGGGTCAGGTGAAGCAGTGGATGATACGTCAGTGACTGTAAAACGAGAAAAGAGAGATGAGTTTCTAAACGGTTTAAACCCTGACATCCATGTGCGCGCTGAGCGTGTCAATCAAGTTGCGAATCTCTCATCACCAGACGAGGTCACATCAGCACTGCATAGCAGCAGGCGATACAGCTTATGCGTGTTGGTCTTTACGTACACTCGAAGCAACACCAGCCATAGTTGCTCATATTTACATTTGCGGAACCAAACCGAGCACGCGGTTCACTGCAAATTGCATACTAAAACTGTTAATCCCAGTGAGCAATTGGAATTCCGCAATGATGCTTTGCCATTCCCTAACTAGTTAGTCCATATAAATTAAGGGAGTTTAAAAATAGCGCTGGTTCGTAAACCTAATGACACAGCTGGGCCACTCGAATACAGCTCAGCCCCTCCGAGGCTTGTATATGCTTCGATAGCATAATCTCCGTTTCAAAGGGCCGCTCGGGAGGACAACGTAAACTAGTAGTCCGATGAACAATGAACAATGAATTTATACGGGTTAAGTAGCGTTGCTTTACAAGTCCCGTTGGATAGTTGGTAGGGATATCGAAATAAAAATAACGATGATAAGGATAGTAAAATAGTTAATACTTTAAATATGGAGGATATCGGGTGCTGTTAGTGAAACGTCAGGGGCAGAGATCCTAGACCAACGTCCGCGATGTACTACGGGGTGCAGTGGGATGACAGGAAAATCTCATAATGAAGGCATTTCGGAGGTATCCAGAGGGACTTAACCTGGGGGGGGACTAGGGGATTCTCGAAAAGACCAGCTGTCAGATTTGAGAGAGTCACTTCCCACAAACAGGGAAAACAACTATATTTATACCAGTGGTAGCAAAGACTTCGCACAAGTGTACATAGGCGAAAGCGTAAGACATGCGCACGAGGACATGGGAATACAAAAGGCGGAGACCGGGGTCACCGAAGTACGCGCATAAATACAGGGCCCTATCAGGAGATTCCGTGACAATGGTGCTTGCGTTAGAAGCATGACATGAAATAAAATTGGATAATATCATGATCCTCGACGGGCGGTTGCGATTAAAACCTCATGGGTTGACTACTAAGACAGAGGAAACTGCCGAAGCCAACATAATGGATGGGGGCGGGTTGCTGAATGCTGAGAAATAACATCAAAAACCGCCTCTGTTCCAATTGTGGATTACGCCAAGTAGGCTTTTCAACAGGATTTATGTATCAAATGGACCCAAGTGCGTGACCATATTTTGCTTTGCTCAAGCCTTAACGATCACTGCACCCCAGTGTCTTTCTGAACGTATACATTCGATTTTTTAAAACCTTACACTGTTGCAATTTATCGAAGTATTCATTTAGGCGGACGTTCGGTAGATGACTCAGATATCTTTTGGTTTCATCATATTTAGCCAAACTATCTTACGGGACGTGTCAAGCGCTTGCATTTATCCCGTGATAAATCATTGTTCATTGTTCATTGTTCAAGTAGCGGCGAAGACTTTGCAACGCAAAATGACTTGAAGCTTTCCATCGTTAATGTAACGCTTGAGCGGCCTCTGAGCTGTAACGCCATTACTCTCAGACTCTATGTTGTCGCGTTTATCTACAATCTGCTATAGACACTGCACCAATTCTTCACTGGCTCAATCAAGCTGATGAAGCTTTTGTGTGAGGCGTTTAAAGCTGTCAGCCAAGTATAATAATCATGCTTTTAAAGCCTTTCTGAAGTCATGAGGCACAGTACATCTCCAGGAACCACTGGATGGTAGTTTCATCCCCTCACGAATCTTCAGTAATGCGTAACCCATCTCTTCGCTGAGAGGTAAGAACCCGCGACCTTACTAATTTCTGTCAGCCATGACCCTGTGTTCCAGGGACAATGGAACACTAGAACAATGGTGCATTACGGGTAAAAAGCAATGCTTAACAAATCTCGTGGGATGGAAATTATTGTGAAAACAAAATTGCATGATAAAGTGAAAAACATTTTGGTGGACTCACCATGGACTTATATGGAATAGCGGAGAGATTGGTGTATTAAAAGTAAAAATCCATTGCTTAGGAGTTTGGTAAGACACCTTTTGATTGCGTCTTGTAGCCCATGGCTAACAAGTTATGAAATGAAATGCAAATGAGCCAACGCAACTTCAACTCGTTTTTTAAATAATGACAGACTGGGAGCGGAGACGACATAACTAGGGAGGGCGTTCCAAGGCTGGCACACGCGGATGGAAAAAATTTCTACGGAATTTATGCAGGCTATACTGTACTGGCAATTTTTAAGGGATGACCTCTTAGGTTAGTGTTGTGGTTCACTTCTAGCAACGGGCGGTAAAAGTGGTTTGGGTTCTTCAGAATCTGGTAAACCATTATGAGATTTCCATGATATCGACTGCTGTGCATCCTTAGGAACTTCAGTCTAAGCTAATAAGGCAGATGAAAGAGGCCCCTGACGTTCTTGGTTACCCTTCACTGAGTAGTCTCGAGAGCAATGAGATCCTCTTTCTGCCCCGGCTGCCACGCCTGGATGGCATATTCCACGTGCAATCGCACGTAAGAGTTAAGCATTTGAGGGAGAGTGAGGGTTCAAACCGACCGAAGGCTCTGCGAAGCAAGCCGAAGTGTTAATTGCCGGTTCTCATTTTGAGCATTCGAGATCTTCCTGTACCAGTACATTCGCAACGGTAGGATCGTAAGTTATAAGTCCGCAGGGGTCGGGCGCAATGCACACGGCTGAAGATCTCCCAAACGGAGAAACGGCCGTTCGTGACTTGACCGTCCGATTAGGTATGGCCACTATAAAGTCAGATTACTTCATGAATTCATGTATTTTAAAACATAATAATGGTTTGGATTAAAGAATATCACTATGCGGACGATGGATATGTTATTTGTGAATACACGTTTCACCTTGTTGTTCGTTGACTGGGGCAGGCGAATACGCAGAGGTAGATCGTAGACATGCCAACACACATACGCAATAACAACCTGTTCGCACGGATAATCGTCGGATCGTTTCCGTTTCAGAACAAACCCAGAGACAAACTGTGACTCAGACGGTGCAAGCGCTACGGAGCGCTCCTCCCGATCAGACGCCTACGTCATCGGATAGCAACATCAAGACGGAAAAACAGTGTAAACTTGTTGTCTACGAGACTGATGGACACAAGATCGGGTTGTTCTCTCCAGCGACTGCTGACAACACGCCATCCTTATACGCCTCGCCTATTCCATGGCATGTAAGTTGAAATCCAGAACGGTTAAATGAGCACATGCGTAATGCATCAGATCAAACGGTGCAGGTTGAGCATAAGCAATGTATAATGATAATAATTGTAATAGTAATAAAGTTAATTTCCAATGAACCGCCTTCGTAAAGGCAGCATCAAGTTTATCCATTCATAATCCAAATGATATAGCGATTTTTAAATACCTAAAAACTACTTCTACTGTTAAGGCAGCTGATTAGAGGCCACATACTACTACTACTATTACTACTACTACCACTACTACTACTACTACTACTACTACTACTACTACTACTACTACGACAACAACAACAACTGAGACAAAAACAATAACAATAACAACAACAACAACAACAACAACTACTACTACTACTACTACCACCACTACTACTACTATTACTACTACTACTAGTACTACTACCGTTTCACTCCGTAGCTAGGCCCGCTTGGGACCCGTCTACTTGTTCGGCGAATAGCCGGTTCGGTACCAACCAACCATTTTGTTCGAAATGCGGTATAACTAGTTGAAATGTTAGCATTTTGAACCCATTAACGTCGTGACAGTTGATAATTTTTCCTATATTGTCTGGTCTTTCTCCAAGGATGCGGAGCGTGTTCAGGTTACAAAGTTGAAATGGCGACCATCCCACGCATGCGTAGAAGGCTGGCACGAACCGGATGACTTTCAGGCGGCTATTGCACAGCGGTTATGGCATCCGATGGGCTCGGCTTACATACCAGATCCGGCCCACTTATCTCCGGATCCGGTGACGCTTATGCCACGAAATCCAGGCGGTTGCACTGGGGTCACTGGGAAAGGCTACCTGCCCGCTTGGGGCCCCAACTCAGCCATAATCATGATTCTCACAAGACAGAAAACTAGCTCCAAAGCTGGAAAGAAAAGCCATACCGCACTCAAACATCTTGAATGTGCAGTTCATGAGAACCCCTTGGGAACACAATTACCATGGGTAAGTGATGCGTTGGTGCTGCCACCAGTTGAACTTCGCAGTTGTATAATCAAAAACTGTGACCCTTGATTTCCCATGAAGAAAAATGTGAGTGGTAAGGAGCTATACATTGCGCAACTCGTGCAAAGGCCCATTACAGACAAAACAAAGGGAGAAAAAGATCAAAGGTGGAACATTAAGACATGTTAGAAAAGATAGACTCATGTCTGCACAAAAACACTTACGCTGGTGTGACGAATAGGCTGAGTAAGTATGTTATAGGTAAGATGTAAGCCCAGTTGTGTCAGCATGCCTTGACACATTGTATCTCATGTGCATAAGGTCAGCTGAGAGAGTACAAAAGCGGTCAGACTGTCTGTCTATGCTACCAAGAAAGCGTAGGGTTCAGTAGGAAAAATGAAACGGGCATAGAGAGTGAAAGAGTGGGGAGAGAGACTTCGTAACCAACCCATTAGGTTTCATTCAGATGCGAGCACCTCGGACCTAGTCTGATCGAGTACAACCAATAGAAATGATGGCGCTGGATGCTGTGTAGAGCTTACATCACTCATTCCAAGCTGGTATTGGCACCTCTCAAACCGGACACTATAAACGGACTCTTAGCCACTGTGACGGGTGTTGCCCGCGGAAGTTACAGACTTGTACTTGAGACATTAGTTGCCATTTTCGGTGTCCATGCTTCTACCGCCAGATTGGCCGTCGCTAGTGGAAGACCGTGCAAACGAGCACGACTGTGTTGCATGGGGAATGCAACATCCAACATTCAGCTGTTTTAGATGCGGTCCCATCTATGCAAGTGACGCGGTTCCAAACGGGAGTACTTGTCACACTCCATTCACCGAACGATTACTCTAACCAGATTGACAGTCCAAGAGACCTTCTCGCCAATTAAAACAAGTGGAATTCAATGAGAAGGATATACGTAGCACTTCGGATTAGTACACACACCCACCGTTGGGGTTGGTGCAGAGAATAAAATGTGAAGTAAATCTTCCAGTGAAAAAGACAGTGGGCCTCGCTTTCTGTTTTGTCAACTGGAACAGTGCAACGGGTACCTGTCACCTCTCCACCGTTTACAGACGGCGGCAATGCTCCCTATCGTGCGAAAGCAAAGTCCAGGCGAACTGATGCTTCTGACCGAATCGAAAGACCGTTACCATGATTACATCAAAGGACCTACTTCACATCCTCGGGAGAGTGGAACTTAATAAGGTGTATTGGGAAGAGTTGAATGGTATAGGTGGAAATTCTTCACAGCTACAATAGGCACTGTGCAACTGTTGTCAGCAGTGCGCATTCCATCTGACTCCTGTGGGACTCGAACCCAAAACTCGACTGTTGCCAGTTTGTGGTTAAGACAACCAGGCTGCGAGGTACGGTAACGACCGACGTGACCAAGTTACTGCAGCGCCGCTCACTATCCACTAACTTGCAAGTTGCTATCATGCAGAGGACAGGGTAATTAATCCCCAAGAATAGAACAACCGTACAATGTTTGTCCAAGAGTGAGGTAGCTATCGAAGGCTTGAGAAGAATTCGAAACAAAAGTTCTGCGATTAAGGCTCCTTGAGGGCGTCGTCCAACAGGAGGTAGTCCCGTGTGGGCTATCCTGCCTCTATGTGGTGTGAACTATAACATGTTCGCAAAGGTCACCATATCGATTATGAGCGCTCGTTAAATATCAAACTTACTCACCGTCGCTTTGGTCTGGGACCACACATCAGTCGTGCGTTCCCTCCACAGCCATCGTACTGCCTGACACTGATATTCTGATATTGGATTACCGTCCGACCAAAGCAGCGTGTTTGCAGACGTTTCGTCTCCAGACTAGGCGTCTGCAACAGTGCAAACTCCGCAACGCTTGACTAGATTTCAACCAGAGTGGGATACCTCGATAAATTTCAGCCCCGTCTACGAGTTAACGTTGAGATTACACATTGGTGATATCGTTCTGCGAACAAACTAGCCATCTCGGAAAGTAATTCCACACACACATCCCGTAGTACGAAAAGCAACAAAAATTGCCAATACCACGTTAATTGAGTGATATGAATGACTACTGATCACACCAATTTAGTTACATCCACGTCGCGAGACAGCCTGGTAGAATGTTGTTCATATCATGTAATGTTCTTACGCGTTCATCGTAAAGTTCACGTCACTGATTCGACGGAACATTTCCAGTGCAGACACTACTAACGAGTTTAACCGCTAGTCGTCACCATGTGCAGATATAAACAGTTATTCTCAATTCGATGCCAGTGCTTCAACCGTACTTGTTATACCATGGTGTTCGGGTCGGAGTACGATAGAGTAGGGAACTCCAAAAATGACTGCTGGTTAGCCAGTGTAATTTATTCAGTGTGACCTAGTCCTACGCGTGTACTAAGCATCAGCCAACTCAATTCACGATACGAAAAGTTGAGAGGGATGGTATACGTTATGCCTTTTGCTATTCTTTTACGTAGTTTTTAGTTCAACACCCTCAAGGATGTGCCGGAGACTCGTGCTACCAGACCATGGTTGATCTGTTGGTCAATAAACGAATGGAAGAAATTAAGGCGGAACAACCGGAAAGAAGTGCAATTTACGAGGATGCCTTGGGCGCTTATCACGCAGCTACAATTACCAAGGTATGTATCAGTTTTCCCTTAATACACACATTGCTCCTGGTGCAGAAGTGGCTTAATTTCGTTAAAGCGGCAGTCTAATTCAATTCCTTTATTCGATATCATCTTAAGTCTCTTATTCGAGTGACGTGGTAAATGAAAGCCTGTCAGTGATCGAAAACGTGTTCTCACTAGAGTAGGCTTAGCTAGGAAACGCCGACTCCGAAATCACACCAGATACTGCTACCCTTAGAACAGTAGACTGGCAGCTTCACGATCTAGGAACACAGGTCAAGCCGCGAATACAACAACGATCAACTAGATTGAATCGTCACAAACCCCGAAGTAGACCGCTCTCATCTTGTAAAAACTAGCTTGTCGCTAGGCACTACGCTCCTGAATGTAACTTGGTGACTGTGCTTTCCACTTGACGGTTCTTTGCATGAGGGCATAAAAGTGCCCGATAGAAAAGTTCTTTTGTCGTCAGGCAGCATTAGCAGAAGCATTCTTACTACTACTACTACTACTACTACTACTACTACTACTACTACTACTACTACTACTACTACTACTACTACTACTACGAAGTACTACTACTACTACTACTACTACTACTACTACTACTACTGCTGCTACTACTACTACTACTACTACTACTACTACTACTACTACTACTAAGTATAGTTCTCCTTGCGTGAGAAGCTCTGATCATCTTTGGCACAACCATATTTTACAGAATATGTCATGTTCATTCATGAATGGTAAACATCTATGTGATGTTGGTAGGGTATTCATCCCGATAGTTCACAAGCTACATTGCACAGCCTAGTCCGGAAAAGCCCCAGAGGCGTTTCGCCCAATGAAGGCTCGTCGGTGGTGCGCATTCCCTCGGTCCTCTACTGGGGATTGAACCGATGACAGCAAAAGGCAGATGCCAACTAGCCAGCAGCTTAATCCACTGATTTTCATGGCTTTTCCTATTTCGACGGTTTGTATTAACTCACAGGTGTGTTTCGACACAATGTGCATTAGTTGAAATAGTGAATGGTAACAGGTGTATGTGACACAGGATGAAATATTTTTGGTTCACTCATTAGATGTTTAATATCATGTAGTATGCCCATTTTTATTATATATTGCAAGAAGAAACGCAAGCGGTACGCTTAAAGCGAACAATTGTTTTCGATTTATTCATCATCAGGCTTTGTACAGAAATATACGTTGAGAAGCGGAGTTCATAGGGGAACAAAGAGTAACTATTGATTGAACAAAACATTTTAAGTGCTTAACGTAACGTGTCAGGTGGTCAGGTCACTGAAGGCATGTGATACCAATGAGTGAAGTCCGATTCATCTCTATTACTGGCTGGCCAGGGTAGTTGTAAGGCTTGTACATGTTGCTTCTGAATGTATAGGTTTGGTTTTGTCAACCTGATGCATACTGCTTCAGTGGTAGCGAGTAGCCGAGCTCCTGACCGATGGTGTAGCTGTGATGGAACTCGATAGATGATCTCAAAAGACTTGCGCTTATCAATCAGATGATTGGTGCAGATCAGATGGTTGGTTATGGCCCTTCTTGGTGCAACTCATCCAATAAGCTGTCCCAAGAGAACAGGATCGTAATCGTGTTCAACTCTAGGTAATTGGTAAGCTTAACGCGAAAGACCGTTGAGCTCTCACACGATCTGATTTTGACTGGGAGTTTATTCCACAGGACAGGATATCTGATAAGGAAAAAGTTAGATTGCACATTAACCCTGCAGCTAGGTACACTCAGGGCAAACTCCTTATTCCGTAGCTCTCTTGTCGAACTATGTTGTAGTTCTAGGGAGGGCAAATAGCAGTGGGCTTTCTGATGAATCACGTTGTACAGAAGCATCAGGTGATGTCTCAATCTTCGTAGCCAAAGCGGATCGAGCTGGAATTATCGGCAGCGCTGCCGATGGTTCTTAGTGGATGTTTTGCCTAGCAGACGTTTGGTAACTGACCTTTGTATGCTTTTCAGCGACAATCTGTCAGCTTTCCTCATGTTGTCACAAATGATACTGCAGTATTCTAAAATGGGGTGAGTGAGGAATTTGAAGAGTTCTATTGTGGCTGGGGTTATGGGGATCTTATGTACTATATTAGCTATTGATTTTCTGGCCAGACAACTGGTATTCCACTTGTTCAGAAAAGTTGAAGGTGCAAAAATACTTGATTATGAGGTCGCGGGTAGACAGCTGTAAACGAGTGTTCCCCGATGAAGAAGAAAGTGTACTTGATCCCTCGCGCATCGAACAACCGCGATACATGCTGTTAGAATTTTACACTGAAACTTCATCATCCAGGTGTCACATCATTTCTCAAGGGAGTGGAGGTCTTCTTGCATGAGCAGTAGTGTACCTTGTAGTAGAGCTCGCTGGAATTTGTACTGTCGCTATGTCTTGGTTGACTGCAAGCCCTAGTCCATCTGAGAACTACTGACGTTCGCGTCCAATGACAGGGTGTCAGTTCAGTAAAACAACCACGAATAAAGCCGTAAGAAGACGAACACTGGCAGATGTCAACATTTCGTATTTTCTCTTCAGTGCCAACATAATAACATAAAATATATAAGTCAACAAGTAGGGTGAGACCGGAACAAGTTAGAACAGGGTACAAGGAAGGCGCGACACCCTACGCCCAGGCAGCCGTACACTTACGAACAACTGTTTCTGCACACAGAGTACGGGTTTGATACGGCTGATCGCGACTGCCACTGCGAAACGTAGGAAACGGGCATTATTATATCTTAGTACGATTATAAACAGTTTGTCTGGATCAAACTGATGACAGGTGGCCAGTAAATGTCTTCCTATGGATAAAGTAGGTGACTTAAGTGAAACGGTGGTATGAGCCACTGACGACTGGGTGATTTGACGCTGCAACAATTTATATATATGTTCCCTTATTCTGGAGTTTAAAGATCTATTAGTAAGGCAGATGTAGCGTATATCACAACTGCAGGTAAATTGGTAAATACAATGTGAGTTGGCGCCAACAGGTTGCCTTTCCGTCATTGGAGTAACAGGTATTCGATTAGTCCGGTTGATAAGGACAGTTTCAGCAGCAACTTAGGTTCTCTTGACTGCGGATAGTATGCGTTTCCTTGTCCTCATACTGGCAAAATCACCCTTGAATCTTAGCTCGATGTAGATCCTCTTTTTAGACACTGTCGAAATCTTCTGCCTGCCACCCTCGCCTGACTATGCTTGTCGATGAATCTTCTTGGATGGCCATTTTTCAACAGCGTATCCTTGAGCGAGTTTATCTCATCATCTAAGCTGTCGGTAGTGCATATTTTTCGTGCACGGTTGAATAGCGCCTTGACTAAGGTCCGCTTGTACCGCAACGGGTATAAGCTGCTAAAGTGCAAGTACTGCACTGCTCAAGTCGGTTTTCGCTAAACCTCTCTTCTGATGGACCCATCTGCTCTTCAACAAATCAACACATCCAAATATGGAAGACAACTGCTTTTCTCTGTTTCGCTGGTTGTTTTCAGCTTTGGATGTACGTTATTCAGGTGATCGGCCAGACGAGCGATGTGCTCCGCTGATAAGCTAAACACTGAAATATCATCCACGTACGGCTTATAGTAGGAAAGAGGCGGTATTTCTACACTCAAGTTAGTTTCAAGCATTGACATACAAAATGCTGCTAGCGCTGGGCCACCCCATGTATCTGAGGATGAGGAATGTTTTGGAATTTGCAACCAATGTTCTCAGTGCATAGTAGTAGGCTGTCCCCCAATAATTCGACTTGTATTGGAAGAGTTAAATCGGAGCATTCTGCCACTTCACACATATAATCAACTGTTTCATGTAATGAAATCTTGGTGAAAAGCGATTGTAAGTCCATTGTAACCATGAATTCATCGGATAGGTTAAATTCATCTAAAGCCTCCGTAAGCTCGAAAGAGTCCATGAGACGGTGTGGGATAGTCTGCCGCTTCAACGGCTCGAGTACTCCCACCAACCATCGAGTCAAGTTATGTTGTGCCGCGTTTGCCATTGACAAGATTGGTCTAAGCGCTATACCACATTAATGTGTCTTCAGTAAACCGTATAGCTGACGTATGTTGGACCCTCCCGGTTTTAGGCCGTTATAATCAATTACACGGTGTAAGGGGAGCAACTATAGGTGTCCTGAGATGCATCTTTCCACTTCATTAACGTCCTCTATTGTTGTAAGGAGTTTAAATTTTTCTAGTATCACTCAGTAAACCTTGCATTTTCCTTGTGTATTCTTCCTTGCACATAATGACGGCTCCTGAGCCTTTGTCTGGCTTAAGTACAATCACACCCATCGTCCTCAGCTCTCGTAGTGCACAAAGGTGACGCCTTGTTAGTAAACACTTCTCACGCACTGGCGTCATTGTGACCTCTTGGGCAATATCAATTAGTTTGTTTCGAAAACAGTTTGACATATCTGGACTAGACACCTGTAATCCTGCTAACTAGTCATAAAAGTTTTAAAACTGTGCCTCTATGAACAAGCGGTTTAGCTTACCAGGTGGGAGTTTGTAATCCATTCCGAGCGATAATGCTTCCAGTTGTAAGGCATCAGGCGGAACATTTGACAGGTTTAAAACGTACGTATCTGGGTCACAATAAGCAGGCTCCTCCCTGTTTTCAACTAGTGAATTCTGCCACCGGACCTTGCTTATCTCCTTTGTACGATCAAGAGTAAATCCGCAGAAGTTAGTAAACACAATCCTGCAACATAACGATAAGTCATCCAGGATTGGCATTAGGCGGGAATGCGTCTCGAGTAGCGCAGTGAGTCGAGTCTGAGCAGTCTCCAATTGGGCAGAGGCAATGCGCTGGAGATTGCCATTGGACGGCTTTAGCTAGTTTTTACGCAAAACCTCCAAAACCGAGCGTGGATATTGAAGTAGGGTGATACACTTTGAGAAAACAGAGAACAAGTTGACATCTCAGACTAACAATACGGCGAAGTTGCCTGAGGAAATCAACGTGGATTCGTCTTTTAAGAAATTTGAAA